AAAATCACTTTAATTAAAACCAGTTAACAGTCAAGTGTTGTTCATTGTTTCTTTATTTCCTGTAACAAAAGACATTTGTATTTATTGCTTTAGATTTCATTCAACAACAAATGACAGATTAATGTTCACATGCTGTTTCCCACCTTAAGCTAGTGCTCCAGCAATTCAATTTCAAGTCTGGCCTTTTTTAGGTTAAGCCTTTTCTCCTCCATTTGAAGCTGTATAAGGTCCATCTCCATGTCACTTTTTCTGATTTGCTTTTAAAGGTGGACCTTATACAGCTTTTTGGCAGGCAACTAGAAAGACTGAAAAAGTCTGTAATACAAACCAAATATTTAAATGAGGAAGGAGAACTGCAGAACATTTCTTACACTGCTAAGATTCTGTGTGGAGGTAGATGGACCCTCATCTGTATTAAAATCTCCTGCCATATTCTGTAAAATGACAATGACAATTTATTTATTCTCTTGTGTAAAAAAGGGGGAAATAATCGCGTAATAATCAAGAAACTTCACTGCCGTACCATGAGAGCAGCAGGCGTAATGATATGACGCAGCGCCTGAAAATAGTTCCGTTGTGTTGACGGAAGGTGGCCTATTTTCAGGCGCTGCGTCATATCATTACGCCTGCTGCTCTCATGGTACGGCAGTGAAGTTTCTTGATTATTACGCAGGAATGAGAGTATAGTTCCTAGCCATATCAGCCTAGAAAATCGCAACTTTACATTTTCTGTCGGTCTTAGTGCACGATGTAACTACAGAAGAGTCAAGTTTTAAATAGGAAAAATATCGAAACACTTTGGTCATTTTTTAATGAGAAATGCTAATGGTCTTGTCCACTTCAATGATGTATGCTAAGCTATGCTAAAAGTGGTACCGTCAGAACCGGAGATCGGCTGAATGGATTCAAAAACGGTAAAACTCAACAGTTTAACTCTGGGGGAGTTGTAAAATGAGCCTATTTCCAAAAAAAGTGGAGTATCCCTTTAACCTTGCTTTCTGGAATACACCCCAGAGATGCCGTACATCTGTGGTGTGGGAGCATTTCCATTTAGAAACCCCAAATAAAGTGAGATGTGTGTATTGTGATCGGCAGCTCGCCTGCAACAATACATCATCCAGTAGAAACACAGGACAGTTTATGGGAACTTTTTGATACTCGTATCATCAAACCCAGATGATACACAATGCTACAGCTGATGCCACAGTGGAAGTGAAAAAATACAACGATGCGTATTTGCCCACAACTCATGATCCACTAACTTACTCGAAAGAGAGAGCAGTAATCTTTCCTCATTTGTATGTATTAGCTAAAAAATATCTTTGCATCCCAGGCAGCAACAATTGTCCCTTGTGAGAGGATTTTTTCAAAGGCTGGAGAAATTATCTGTAAAAAAAGAAGTAGGCTAGGCTAAGTAAATAAAAATATGTAAAAAAGTGAGACATTGTGGCTTGATTTATTTTATTAATATTCATTTTGCAGGACCAAAATAACATTATGCACAATGAGGAGTCTATAGGTTACAAGATTCACATATTAGAAAAGTACAAAAATTCATGGCTTGTCAAGGTTGTTTCAGATCAACACCTGCAAGTGACCACTAGGTGTCACCGTGGAGACAGGTGTCAGATTGATTCGAAGCCTCGAAACAATATGAACCATTTGATTCAACTGTTTCATTGCTTCACGAAGCCTCGATCTGCCCATCACTACTGTAACGTGATGCGGTGAAGGCAGATAGGAGGCTGGATCCAAACGCAGTTTACACGCTTTATTTAAACAAACTATAAACTCAAACAGAGACTCAGAACGTGGAACAAGAATCTTTACACTGGGAAACCAACACTCACGTTAATCCTGAAACATATAACAACTCAAAAAGACAGGGCAGAAACACAGGGCTTAAATAATCAAGTACAAACGAGCTAACAGGATAACAAGGGGGCGTGGGAAAATCAGAAACACCTGGGATAAGTAATAAACAAGACAGGGGACCACAGAACATGACAGGACACAAACCCACATCGTGACAGGTACGTACTAGTATAAATTCATTAGATAGTCCTATATTTATTAGATACTAGTACCTATTAAAAATACACTAGTACTTATTCATTAGATTCGAGTGCCTATTAAATTGGTACTAGTATTATTCATTAGATAGGCCCTACTAGTACTTATTCATTAGTACTTATTATTAGCTAGTACTTATTCATTAAGATACTAGTACCTATTAAATAGATACTAGTACTTATTCATTAGATACTAGTACTTATTTCGATAGTGACTATAGTAACTATTCTTATGTGAAAGTGCTAAAATGCTAACATGTTTCTGGGTTTTGGCCTACAAAAATTAATCATCCCTTCACTCTATACAAGGGCGCTTTAGCAGAAATGAAGCACACAGGCTCGGACACAAGATAAATTTAGAAAAGATCACTTTGACAATGTTTTTTGTGGGCCATTTGAAACAAAGTACTTTGGTGCAATATGAGAATTATCTTGAGAAAGTGATGAAATGTTTCACAAAAATACATTTGAAGGAGAATGTCTTTTCTGCCTCTTTTTTTTTTTAAATTGCTATTTGACAATAGAATTTAATTTAAATAGTTGAGTTTATTACGTGTTAATATCATGCTAACATATGTATACACTAATACCACAGTTAGTTATCAGTGCTTTTATCTCTTCTCCGCAGGTGTTGGGCTTTGATGCTGTAAATAAACTGGAGAGTTTCCTGTCTCCTGTAAGTCAGTCAAATACGTGTGTGTGTGTGTGTGTGTGTGTATTTCTACATCCCCTCAGTCTTGATGAGTGGGGAGGTGGAGTTAATTCAGTTTTATATGGAGAAAGTCATAAAAGCCTGGTCTGATTTGTCACTGAAGTTGTTTGATGATTTCCTCTGTTCTGTCTAATAAGGTAACAGCGAGTGTGATTGGAGGGTTTTGAACCTCTTTCTCTCTCATATAGGGGGCTGAGAGGACGCCTGTACTTCTGCATCATCAGTGCGGAGAAGCTTGTATATTGAATTAATCAAGCAGAGAGAGATGGAGAGATGCCTGCCACTCATTTTACTGTCTTCAATTATAATACTCATCACAGCTGGTAAGTAGACAATGAAATTAAGAAGATTGTTTTTTGTTTTGTTTTTAGAAATGAATGGCTATGTTATTTAAGATCTTAAAATTAAACTGTAATGTATTTTTTTAGGTGCCTGTGTAATCGCATTGTCACAGTATTTTGAATATGCTCTTGTGTTTAACAGGCAGTTATTCTCTTTCTCTTTCTCTCTCTGTCTCTCCAATTTATAAAGAGCTACATAAGTTTTACATGAGTGTCTTCTTTTTTCTGCAATATAATATATTGTTATCAAAATAATATTAATATTAATTTATTGAAACCCAGGCCATTATTGTAGGTTTTTTTGTCTTGTGATCACATTACATTTTTCATGTGATATCAACATTGTAAATGTTCTCTCAATCTTCTGTTATCTAAAAAATATATAAAAAAATCATACATTGATCACCTTTTCTCTGGTTGAAAACAATTGAATCTCCATGTGTCAAACATTACTCTATAACCATGCAGGAATGCTGTCCCTCGAGTTGGGTGGCCGTAAAATTGATCACACATTTGGAGTTCTGATTTGATAAACAATTGATTTGGAAATATTAGTTACAGATATGTTAGCTTGAGCAAGTCCATGAACACTTTTATTAAAAAAAAAAGAAAAAGAATCACTCATTCATAATCCAGCAGGATAAATGCAGTTATCTTATGTCAATAAGTTGTGATCATGACAAACAAGACCAAAAAGAAGAAAAAAAACCTAAAGGCCTTGGTTACAATGTTAGTCTCTTAAACAATGCCAAGACCTCAACTACAGAAGGTTGATAGAGAGGGAACAAACATATATTAAAACAATACACCAGGTTTAATATAGTTTAAGCTCAATCAACATAATTTGTTGCATAATTATTTACCTAAATACTACATTTCTACTTGTCCCCCCTTTAAAAAAAGAGTTTTTCTGTAAACTTTAAAATACTCACTGTCTCAATAATATAGAAACAAGACGTAAATAAATTATGTTAACATGATTTTAGTGTGGACAAAATTGCTTACTAACCTTTCTTGTGCAAAGTTATTTTCAGTTTTAAACTTTGTTTCCATGACAACATAATGGTATAAACCCTGTTATTGTTTTTATCTATTTACAGCTGAAACAATAATGCATTTTAGGGTAATTGATTTAAGTGCTTTTATAAAATTATAAGCTTCCCATTTCTGCCTTTAAACCCTATTTTTTTTTAATAAAAGGAGGGAGTCAGCATAATTATTTTTTGGTTAATCAACATACCTATGATGTTGATTGAGCTAAACTTGTATTGAACTCTGAATATTAATTTTAAATACTCAGACGTATGTCTCCCATTTTCCCAGTTGTCCCACTTTGTAATGCTATAAATTGAACTCTCATCCCTTCATCTCTCATCTGTCATTGTTACTGCTTAATATTTAGACAGTGTGAATGTGAGGCTGGTTGGTGGTCACAGTCGCTGTGCTGGTAGAGTGGAGGTTCTTCATAGAGGTCAGTGGGGAACAGTGTGTGATGATGAGTGGGATTTGGCTGATGCTGCAGTGGTGTGTCGAGAGCTGGACTGTGGAGAACCTGTAGATGCTCTGAGTGATGCTCATTTTGGACCAGGATCAGGACCAATCTGGATGAGTTATGTCATGTGTACTGGATCAGAGTCTACACTGAAGAACTGTGGGTCAGCAGGATGGGGTCAAAGCAACTTTGATCACAGTAAAGATGCTGGAGTCATTTGCTCAGGTAAAGTATGCGCTTCCAGATTAGCTTTAAATTTTTTAAGTTTTAAAATGTTGACTTCAATAAAAAAATAAATGTTATATTTATATTTGTTGTGGTTTTCTTTTGTGTTTTTACTTTATTTATTTAGTAATGGCTTGATGTACACATCATTATCTTGAAGCCCCATAAATAAGCCACGCTTTAGTTGATCTATGTTGTCTTATTTAGAAGTCCGGCTGGTTGGAGGTTCTCGCTGCTCTGGGAGGTTAGAGATACTTCACGATCAGTCGTGGGTTTCAGTGTGTGACGCTGCCTTTGACCAGCAGGATGCAGAGGTTGTGTGTAGAGAGCTGGACTGTGGGGCTCCTGTACAGGTGCTGGGAGAAGATGCTTTTGGCAAAGGAGACGCTCAGATGTGGACACAAGAGATTCAGTGCAGAGGAAATGAGTCTCAGGTTCACCTCTGTCCAACATCACCATCACATGAAAACAACTGTTCATATGAGCACAACATTGGTTTGCTGTGTACTGGTAAGAGTTCAAAGTACAACAAAGAAAATTTCATTTCATTTTATTATAACAATTTAAATTTACAATAGCCTTTTCTCTTACATACATAGACATAAGAAATGTGAGACTGGTAAACGGTAGCAGTCGCTGTGCTGGTAGAGTGGAGGTTCTTCATAGAGGTCAGTGGGGAACAGTGTGTGGAGCTGGCTGGGATATGGCTGATGCTGCAGTGGTGTGTAGAGAGCTGGACTGTGGAGAACCTGTAGATGCTCTGTATGATGTTCATTTTGGACTGGGATCAAAACCGTTTTGGATGAAAAATGCAATGTGTACCGGATCAGAGTCTACACTTAAGAAATGTGGATTCATACAACCATCTGATCTTATTGTGTGTCTTAATAAGAGCGCTCAAGTCATTTGTTCAGGTAAGCTAAAGCTAAAAATCCTGTCTTAATTTACAAAACAATTGCTCCAAAAGCAGTCATAATTTCATTTTTTTTTGTGACCATTTTCCAGCTTCTTTTTGACAACACAAACTGTTAAGGTCAGACTGTAATAATCAGAGACCTTGTTAAAAATTGAAATTTAGAAACTTGTTTCTAACTCTACATTCTAATTTAATTCCCTGATAGGATTCATTCATAGACATTGTTGACATAAAAATGTTGAAATGCAGGCGGTCATGTAATGCATTTGGATTTTTACAGTAACAATAATTATACACTTTTGTAAATGAGCTGTTTTTGTAGGTTACTTTCAAGTCCTTTTGGACTGGGAAAAAGTTTTGCTGACATGTATAATATGTTTTCATAAATATATTTTATTTCAGAAGATAAAGGAAAATATGATTTCTCATTGATTGATGTATTGATTATATGACTGACTCATTATTGAAGTTCTCTAACTTTAAATTTTTTTTTTTTCTGTGTTGTTCTTTCAGAAGTCCGGCTGGTTGGAGGTTCTCACTGCTCTGGGACGTTAGAGATACTTCACGATCAGTCGTGGGTTTCAGTGTGTGACGCTGCCTTTGACCAGCAGGATGCAGAGGTTGTGTGTAGAGAGCTGGACTGTGGGGCTCCTGTACAGGTGCTGGGAGAAGATGCTTTTGGCAAAGGAGACGCTCAGATGTGGACACAAGAGATTCAGTGCAGAGGAAATGAGTCTCAGATTCACCTCTGTCCAACATCACCATCACATGAAAACAACTGTTCACATGAAAATGTTGTTGTCTTGGTCTGTGCAGGTTTGAGCATTTTTTTTAAATAAACTGAAATCAAAGTTAATGTTCCCAAAAATCTACACTTAATATTAGTAAATTTTCTCTTTGTGTGATACTTTTTTCCTCATTATTTCCTTTTGTCTCTGTGTCTTTACTCCCTCTTTATTGATTTTATAGGCAATATGAAAGTGAGGTTGGTTAATGGTAGCAGTCGCTGTGCTGGTAGAGTGGAGGTTCTTCATAGAGGTCAGTGGGGAACAGTGTGTGATGTTTTCTGGGATATGGCTGATGCTGCAGTGGTGTGTAGAGAGCTGGACTGTGGAGAACCTGTAGATGCTCTGAGTGGTGCTCATTTTGGACCAGGATCAGGACCGATCTGGACAAATCGCAAGTTATGTTCGGGATCAGAATCTACACTGAAGAACTGTGCAACAGTAAATTGGGGTGATTATGACTGTGATCATACTAAAGATGCAGGAGTAATCTGCTCAGGTAAACTGCTCCAAACCCTGCCCTGTTTTTACATCACTGATAATTCAACTGCCTTAAAGGGAAAGTTCAACCAAAAATGAAAAATCAGTCATCATTTACTTTGTGTCCTTTCAAACCTCTGTGACTTTGTTCTGTAGAGCACAAAATGTTTGTTTTTTTCCCTAATTTTACTTTCATTATATTGAAAAGAGTACCAGGATATTCTTTTAAATTCCCCTTTTATGTTCCATAAAAAAGAAAGTCAGAATGATATGGATTGACATGAGAGATTGTGTAATTTGACTATTTTACTCCTTTCACATTAATAAGTGGTGCTTTGTGGTAGAACAACAATGACAAGAATTACAGACCTTTAGATAAACAAAATTGAAACGTTTCTTATCTCTTGCTACTTCAGGTGTCAGGCTTATTGGAAACTCCAGTTGCTCTGGGAGGTTAGAGATACTTGATGATCAGTCGTGGGTGTCAGTGTGTGACGCTGCCTTTGACCAGCAGGATGGAGAGGTTGTGTGTAGAGAGCTGGACTGTGGAGCTCCTGTACAGGTGCTGGGAGAAGATGCTTTTGGCAAAGGAGACGCTCAGATGTGGACACAAGAGATTCAGTGCAGAGGAAATGAGTCTCAGATTCACCTCTGTCCAACATCCTTATACAAAAACAGCTGTTCACATTATAATTACCAGGGGCTGATCTGTGCTGGTGAGTTAAAATAATATAGTAGTATCATACCTTTTACTAATTGGGTGCCTCTCAGTCAGCTTCATATTTCACAGTCAGAACACTGATCAGGGAACCAGCCATTTTAAGGTCTGTCTCAATCACAAAATTCTTCAAGTGCAATGGAATGTTCGCTCCCTATAAATCCCACAATGCACTCCAAAAACCAGTCACTACGTTCCCCTTAATGGAAATTTTGTTAAAAAACAATTCGCACGAACCAACACAATATCAACACAATATCATCATGACATGCGATAGAAGATTTGAAAAGTTAAACCGTTATTTAATTATATGTCAGTTTAAACATCAGTAGATGGGTAGTGAACAGTGTAGTAATTATTTATGATTAAAATTTGCCTAAAATGTTGCAGATATATATAACAACAATCAAAGTATATTTCATAACATACTTTAAACAGCATAAAAATGTCAGAAAGATATTTTGTGTGTTGTTAATAAATACCAGTGGGGATGTTTTATGACACAAGCACCTATCATATCACCGGGAATTGAATAATCAGTGTCCAAATGTGTAGTGAGCCAGTGTGCTTTACCAGTGCCCGAATTTGTGTACACAATATGATGCGCAAACTAGTGTGCTTACGGAGATGCATCCATAGTCTCTATCTGTATTTTTCTGTCATTTAGATAAAAAGAATGTGAGGCTGGTTGATGGTCACAGTCGCTGTGCTGGTAGAGTGGAGGTTCTTCATAGAGGTCAGTGGGGAACAGTGTGTGATGTTTTCTGGGATATGACTGAAGCTGCAGTGGTGTGTAGAGAGCTGGACTGTGGAGAACCTGTAGATGCTCTGAGTGATGCTCATTTTGGACCAGGATCAGGACCAATATGGATGGGTGGTGCAAATTGTGCTGGATCGGAGTCTACACTGAAGAACTGTGGGTCATCAGGATGGAGCATACATGCCTGTACTCACAATTCAGATGCTGGTGTCATCTGTTCGGGTGAATCATTTAACTGATTGCCCATTCATTTGTTGTGACATAAAGAATATTTTGTTTGGAAAACTGTTGGTATGTTTATTGTATTTAACTATCAAACATTTGTTTTTGTCTACTGTGCACTGTAATTCCTGTCATATTAACAGGTCATCAAGCTTCCAGACTCATTAATGGATCTCACCTGTGCTCTGGAAGGTTAGAGATACTTCACGATCAGTCGTGGGTTTCAGTGTGTGACGCTGCCTTTGACCAGCAGGATGCAGAGGTTGTGTGTAGAGAGCTGGACTGTGGGGCTCCTGTACAGGTGCTGGGAGAAGATGCTTTTGGCAAAGGAAAGGCTCAGATGTGGATACAAGAGATTCAGTGCAGAGGAAATGAGTCTCAGATTTCATTTTGCTCAATTTCATTATCACACAAACAAAGCTGTACCAGTGACCATAATGTGGGTCTGATCTGTTCTGGTAAATTATAAATATTCAGTGTCTCTTTGTTTGTATTTAAAACACTATATGTTCTCTGTCAGCTGCATTATACTTTATTTTAACCTCTAAGTTCTTTATTCAGGTTACACAGAGGCCAAACTGATGAATAGTTCAGACTCCTGTTCTGGAAGAGTGGAGCTTTGGTTCCTTAATGAGTGGGGCACAGTGTGTGATGCATGCTGGGATATGAGAGCTGCCAGTGTCCTCTGTAGACAGCTGAATTGTGGGATTGCTGTGTCTGTTCTGGGATCAGACTGGTTTGGAGAGGGAAGTGGTGAAATCTGGGCTGATGTGTTTGATTGTGACGGGAATGAAACAAAACTCTCAGAATGTTCCATCTCTTCATGGAGTCGAGCTGAATGTTCTCATAGACGAGATGTTGGAGTCGTCTGCTCTGGTAAACTTATTTGAAACAGAGAGCATTATGCTCTTTTTCACCATGTTATAACACAATTCTTATTTTAGTAAAAGATGAGATCTTCTCCTCAGATTCTTCTCTGGCTGTTCGTGACGGTCTGGTGCGGTTGTCTGGAGAGAGACAGTGTGAGGGGGAGCTGGAAGTTTCCATCCATCAGGTCTGGAGGAGAGTTCTGCTGGACTCCTGGAGTCTCACTGAATCCTCTGTGGTCTGCAGACAGCTGGGCTGTGGCTCTGTGCTGAACTTCTCCAGCTCCTCTTCATCCAGTCCTGAACACAGTCATGAGTGTGTGACGGGCTTCCAGTGCTCTGGGAGTGAAGCTCATCTGGGGAACTGCAGCTCTCCACAAACTCTCAACTGCAGCTCCACACAACAGCTGTCAATCACCTGCCTTGGTGAGCACAACAACATCTGGGCAGATTCGTCAGTTGTTAGTGATCAATAATGTGTTTTTCTCTCTCTGAATATCAGGCCGCGGGTCCATCAGGCTGGTGGGTTCTGGGGGAGACTGTGCAGGGAGGCTGGAGGTTTTTCACAGCGGCTCATGGGGGACAGTGTGTGATGACTCCTGGGATATTAAAGATGCCCATGTGGTGTGCAGACAGCTGCAGTGTGGAGTGGCCCTCAGTAACCAGCAGGTACCAGCCTGGTTTGGTCCTGGTTCTGGACCCATATGGCTGGATGAGGTGGAGTGTGAGGGGAATGAGACGTCCCTGTGGAACTGCTCTTCTCCAGGCTGGGGGAAACATGACTGTCGACACAAGGAGGATGTAGGTGTCGTGTGCTCAGGTAAAGTTAAACACATTTTATGAATTATTGCAAATAATTCACCAGCAGCTACTACTTTCAATATATAACAATAAAGTAATATCAATGTAGTATTTGGAATCAAATAGTATTTTTGTTAATTCACAAAAATACAAATTTTAAGAATTGAATTTAACATTTTTCCATCTAGAGTTTAAAGAGATCAGGTTAACTGAGGGCTGTGAAGGGAATGTGGAGGTTTTCTTCAATGGATCCTGGGGTAATGTGTGCTGGAACCAGATGAACAGAGACACAGCGAGTCTGATCTGTCAGGAGCTGAACTGTGGAAGATCTGGCAGTGAACCCGGTTATTCAGTGGGTCTGAGATCTGCTCCTAATTGGTTAGATCATCTTAAATGTCGAAAACATGACAAAACATTGTGGCAGTGTCCATCTTTACCCTGGGGCCAGAACAACTGTTATGATAATGAGGTGGCCAATATCAGTTGCTTTGGTAAGACTTAATGTAACAAAATGTAATAATTTCTTGATTTTAGAGTGATTTTTACAGTAAGCTAAAACCATACGTTGTTAAAGTTTTAGTTTAGAGTTTAGTTTTCATCTAAATTTGATAATTGTTGAATTTCACTTTGTAATCTCAGAGAAACAGAGTCCTGAGTCGCCACAGAGTCATCTGACATGTTCAGCATCTCCTCACCAGAGACCGTGTTCAAGTGAGTAGGTTATTTTCTGTTAATGTGAGCAATAATATATGCTTGCCTACTTGCTGCAAACATATACTTTTGAATTATCTATCTGGTAAGAGATAACTGAGTCCCCACATGTATATATTTTAGATCATGTTCCTCTCAGACTGAGTGGAGGTTTGGGCCGGTGCTCTGGGAGGCTGGAGGTGTATCATAACGCTGTGTGGGGTTCAGTCTGTGCTGATCTGTGGGACATCAGCGATGCTCAGGTGGTCTGCAGGCAGCTGGGTTGTGGAGACGCACTGAGGGCTGATGGGAATTCAGTCTTTGGTGCTGGTGAAGGTGTTGTGTGGCTGAACAGAGTCGAGTGCAGAGGGAATGAGATTCACCTGTGGGACTGTCCTCTCTCCCTGAAGAAACACACTGACTGTTCCCACAAAGAGCACGCTGGACTCACATGTGCAGGTCACAGCAACACACTGACCGATATTAGTCATTTTCACATAATTTTAGGGCATATAATATTTGTGTGTTCAAGACAATCATCATTTTAAATGTGTTTACAGATTTGTCAGTGTCCACTACTCCTGCCACAACAACATCAGCTTCTCCTCCAGTTTCTCAGACAGTGCGCTCAACATCAGTCACTCCTCCACAAACTCCTCCAGCAGCGTCTCTCTCTGTGCTTGTGGTTGTACTGGGAGTTTTGCTCTTACTGCTCTTAGTGCCACTGCTTATACTGGTTCAGCAGAACAGAGTGATGAGGAGAGGTAGGAGAGATCCAGAGACTGTCATATTGTGTCTTATTCAGTGTGTGATCAGTCATGTGTTGTGAACTGACAGCAGGTTTGTCTGTCTACACTCACAGCTCTCTCTAAGAGGAGACACAGGACGACGACTGAGGCCGTTTATGAGGAGATTCATCACAGACCCACTAATAGAGAGAGTTTCTTCACTCAGAGGGGTGAGTAAATGTCATAGAGTCTGATTTGTGGAGATCATAATCACTTTATTCATAGGGAGAGTAGAATAAATCACATAGATCCAGTTGTTGGACTTTTGTTTGTTATCTGAAATGATACGGTTTAGTGTTGAGATGGAAGTGGGGATTTTGGCTGATTTACGACTGTGACCGTGTGTCTGATGAATCTACTTCTCCATAATAGGAAGTGTCCTTTCTGAAGAACAGCATTCTGGGTATGAAGATGCTGATGAGCTTCTTTTAGGTTAGAGGACTCAAATATAAATCAATATAATTCAAATCTTATCTGCTACACATAGAAATGAATGGATGTTAAATCAATTAAAACATTCTCTTAGCAG